ACACATATGACACGAAAATATGTATTAATTGACTCTGTTTTCGGTAAGGCTTCTGGTCAAGGGTAGGTTGTTAGTCCAGTTTTGTGGAGTCAAAAGTTACATGTAGAGTTTTGAATGCACAGGGGTCGGCACCCCAACCCCTGAATTGCTTGAGGATCAACTGTATTTATTTTTTGTCTTCCTGTTTTCTTCTATTTTGCTTTTGGAGGAGAAACACCCCAATTAAAATTGCCGTTAAGTTGTTTCAGAGAGAAATCCATTCCCTAGAAAAGACCATCTTCCAATGTACTGTGGGTTTTTAAGGAGTGTGGGAGTGTGCGTTCTAGGAGCTTGTGTGTACCACCCATGGGGAAATGGATTAGGGAAAGATTGCTTTGTGGCCTCAATACATTCTGAGTTTTAACAATAGATTTTCAGTAAAATTCGAAACGTTTGACCTCCCACATGATCCATGACATATACACTGCGGCTGTCAGGATTGTTAAAAATGTGAATTAGGCTACAAATTCAGCTATATTCGCACCCCACTTAAAATCTTCCACTCTTCTCCTGTTGCACTAGGGATAAAAACCAAATTCCCTGACGAGACACATCCTGCCAGCATCACCAGCCCCCGCTCTGGCTTTCCCTGTGCTCCTTCCGCTCCAGCCCTGAGACTTGTCTTTCTGGTCCTTCGTTAGCCACTGAGCTCCTGTCCCACTCGGGGCCCTCAGCAGGGCCTGAAACACTCTTGCCCCAGGCCTCTGGCATGCCTCCTTCGGCTCAAGGCTCAGCTCCTCATCACCTCCTCAGGCTGTGGTATGTCACTGAGAAGGAAGCCTAGAAGTAGAAGCTCCATGGGCCGGGACCAGATAACCATTCTCCGCCTGTCTGGGTGTAGAGACTGGCATGGAACAGGAATTCAGGCCCAGGCTGAGTTCCTCTTTGAAAGCCTTTCCTTACATTATGTCAGCCCACAGTGGTCTTGCTCTGCTTGGTGCTGTCCTCCCCACACCTCCTCCAGGGCACACTGCTCTTCTGGATCCACACTGGGCCTCTTAGGGACCTCTTAACTGGTGCTTTCAACTCTTTGCTTCTCAGTGGAATCTTGCCAGTGTCTGGTGGGCATGCCTACTGATCTTAACCAGACTGTCTTTCCCAGCGGCCACTTGGCTGCTTCTGTGGGAAAGTGGAGCAGGCCCAGCACTGCTCGTTTTCTCTATCCTCCCGCCTCCTTCCGGTGAAGTTGCCTTTAGCGATTCCCTGCTAAGGTCCATGGGCTGAGTCTAGAGGGCCCAGCCGGCATTTTCTGAGCCCGTACCTGCTGTCCCACCATGCCTCTCCCAAAGTCCCAGAGCAGGAAAGCGAGCATGTGCTATAATGAGGAGGCAGGTGGACCATGGACGGTGTCTCTGCCAGCTCTGTCCATGGCAGTGTGAGTCGTCGATTCCAATTACACTGGGGTCTGCTTGCCCAGCCTGAGGCTCAGGCCAGCTCCTCTCACGAGCTTCTGATGGACGACAGTGAATTTTCATTCTATATTAAAGGTGGACTGTTAGTCTCTCTAGAAAAAGGTTCTTTTAAAAAAATATGTAGATCTATCAGTGATTCCACTCCCCATACAAAGAAACTTAAGTTTTCTGTGTTTTTTTTTCCCCCCTCTTATTTAAAGAAGTGCTCTTTTGGAAAGATTAAACAACATATAAAAGTACAAGTAAAGGGCAAACCATGCCAAGTACCTACCTTCTAAAGATAATTATTGCCTTTATGTTTTGGGATCACTATGCACATATGTACAACTTACAGCCTTAAATATGAGATCATATTATAAGGCATTGTTCTCGTTTTTTTCTTCACAATAGATTGTGGTAGTCTTCATGTCAGTAAATTTAGACTCCTCCTTTTTAAATATCTGATACAAATGCCATTGTGCAAATGTGCTGTGATTTATTTAACTGGTCTCTTAAAGATGGAACGTTTTCCCTGTTATGAATAATGCTTCATTAAACATCCTTGTACCACTCTAATTGTCTCACAGGATAAATGGGTTAGAACTACTGAGTCATGATATGATAACTATTTTGGGTTTTCACGCAGTCTGACAGACTACCTACAGAAATGTTGAACCATTTTTATTGTCTCATAATGAAGGAAACCTGTTGCTGACTTTCTTGAATGCTGTTCTTTCAATGTATTTTAAATGAATAATTTTCCCGAACTCTTACCATTTTTTTTTTCCTTGGCAAATGGACTTTGGATAACTGATTAAGGGGAGGTTTAATGTTGGATGTAGCTTCACTGGTTAAGAACCTAAAATGTATATCCAGTCTGTATTTTCCCTTACATCATTCTAGTTTGCAGTTAAATGGGAGGAAGAAATTTTCCTCAGTCTAAGGTTCTTCTAGCTGGATTGAGAATTAAATTTTACATGAGACAGATTAACAGGAGAGAAAAACCCAAGTTTTATTATGTGTGCACAGAGGCCTGATAATGAAATTGGGACCCAAGCAAATGACCAAAGTCAGGCAGATCTTAAACATTTTAGACAAAGAGACAATAAATTGGTGCGGAATTGACAGGATAAAGAAAACAGATGTTTGGGAGTTTTAATTAGAAAACTATTCTAATTGGAATTTGGGCTGAGGTAATAGATGAGTAAAAAAGTAACCTAGTTTGTTTCTATAGCTTTCTCAGCTTTAAAGTCCCCATCTTTGGTGACGAGAAGGTCTTTTCACTACATGGTCCAGGGAGGGCACCTTTCATATGGGAGGTTTATTTCCCACTTTCCGGGGGACAGGGGAAGGTTTGAGTGTTCTTACACTGGCTGTTTCGCAGGTAGCTTCAGTTCAAAATAATCAGTATGGCACTGTGGTACATTTGGGGCAGCCTGCCCTAGGCTCCTACATAGAAATGTCTTTTGACTTTGATCGTAATTAATCATCATATTGGAGGTTATGCAGTTAAGGCCAGTGCCCTTTTTTAGTCTCTCTTGTGGCAATCTGTCATGCTCCGTCCTTTCATATTGCTTCTAAAACTTTGCTAAAGAGAGCTTTTGACAAAGTAGCAGATTTGACTTTGTAATCCGATAGGGTTTAAAAAAAATAACTCTTGAGTTCTTATTTGAAGGTGAATATTCCGGCCTTTCTTCAATGGAAGTACCACTTTCATGACTTGTCTCTGGTTTCTTCTAGAATGTTTTTTCCATTTGTTTCAGTCTGGGGAAACTTCCACAGACCCATGTGATTAATGACCTGTTGTTCCACCTCTTTGAACTTTATCTCCTTGATCTCATCTCTCCATCCTCTGTGTCACCTGAAACTTTGACCAGTTCATTGGTTAATTGCTTATCTTTCTTTCACACTTTCTTGAGTTCATCTAATGATAGGGCTATCATCTATCATTTTAAAATGCTTTTGTAGTGTGTATTCTTTTACAGGCCAGAGTGATTCAATGTTTAACATTGGTTACGTTGAACATCCTTTGTCTGGGTGTTCCATAGATCAAAGAAAGGTAGATTTTCCCCTGTTGAGACTATTGCAATAACAAGATGGAGGGAGCTTTAGCTTAGGGAAAAGAAATAACACCATCTCAGTTTTTGTTTTTTGTTTTTTGTTTTTTTAAAGAGAGAGAAGGAGCAGGGATAGGGGTAGAGGGAGAGAGAGAGAATCTGAAGCAGGCTCCACGTTCAGTGCAAAGCCTGAAGCCAGGTTCGATCTCATGTCTCTGAGATCATAACCCAAGCCAAAATCAAAAGTTGGATGTTTATCTGACTGAGCCAACCGAAGTGCCCCAACTTAGTTTTCTTTTTAAACTTATTTGGATTTTGAGGGAATGATTTCAAAGTAGTTTGGAAGAGTTTTTCAGTGGCTTGTCTCCTCATCAGGTAAAGACTTCTAGAGGGGTTAGACTTTCCTGTTGAATTTTGATTTAAAAGGCTGGGAGTAACTTCACTAACTGGAAGAAAGGAATGGCTAGGGAATGAGGCTAATTTTGAATAAAATGGGAACGAGAAGTGGGAACCAAGAGGAGAAGAGTGAGTAGGAGGCACAAAAAAGACATTTTAGAGGAGTTTGGCACAGTAAATATGGCAAATTTTATTTGTAATTAGATCATGACTTATTTTTAAGTGTTCTTTGTTCAATAAATAAATAAATGTTCTTTGTTCATGTTAGACTATAAACCCTTTGTGAAAAGATTCACCACAACTTTGGGTGTGAATTGATACCAGAGACTGGACTGTGATAGACTCAGTGGGGCTGTGGTCTTGTCACTCCCTGCGCTCAGACTGCAGGCGGAATGAATGCCAGGGACTTCTCGGAGGGGTCACTGAATGAAGTCCACGATCAGCCGTCTAACCACATGTTGGGGTTCTGGCTGGAGCTGGTACTGGGTGACAGTGCACATTGTTTTCCAGCAAACAGCGGATTCCCCCAGTGTCTGAGCATACTGGTGTCGAGTTGTACGGCAATGACTCTTTCAGGACACTAAGGTGCCATTTAATGGACTGTTCCTTTAGTGCCATTTAATAACTTACAATCTTGGTGTAGTAAATGGCAGTTAATTACTGGCTCTTTGAGCCCCAGGGGAACCATTTAGTAATTACTCCTTCATTGCCATTTAATACATTTCTGTCTTGTACATTAAATAGCTCTGAGCAGCGATTCATGGCCCCGTCCCTGGTGGCTGCTTCTAGAGATACTCTTCTGAAACCAGATGGTTGCTGAGGCATAGGGAGTGTAAAGGGGCCATAAAACTTTTTAAATGAGTGGTCGCCAGACTTGTGGATATCATGGACCACATTTTGTTTTTATTTTTCTTTTTTCAATGTTTGGGGACATACATAAGGTGGTTAAATTTTTTATGTTGTGGTTTAGTTCCCTTCAAGAAGCCAGACTCAGCACCTTGCCTGGGTAGGGCATGGTAGGCATTTGGTAAATATTAGTTGAGTTGAATTAAGTTCCGTGTTCTAGGACAGGACTTTTGTTGATGACACCCAGTTCGTTTTTTTATTGTTTCATCAGAGCTCATATCGGAGATGTTGGTTTTGTAAAATGTATTTGCCAGTGTGGCCGACTAAAGGGATTTCACTGTATGCAGGGGTCGTGAGAGTTAAACAGCAAATGTGAAAACTGGAAGGACCTCAAAACAGATGGTAAACGTAAGGTAATTAATATTGTCTGCTGACAATACTATGCAGAAATGATTAATTTTTTCCATTATATTAAATTCTGGGGGAATTCTGAGATGTGGAACTGATTAATCTGAAGACAACTGATATACAGGCTATTGTGTCTTGGTTCCTCAGGTAAATTTGTGACAGATCAAAGGAGGAGGTGAGTCAGTAAAGATGGTTTAGTTAAAATTGTTACCTTAAAAATAGAAGCATAAAGGCACACTGCCTTTTCTGTGATTTTTGCTTATTGTAGAAACCAAGTGTGTCATAAGGTGACTTGTCTAAATTCTGTCCAGCATAGGTAGTATCATGGTCAAAGTGGTGATAATGATTATGTAAAAAGATCCTAAAAATCCTGGTGAGTATTTTGAAGGGTGGTAGAAGGAAGGACTGACAGTCTACAGCATGGAGAAGGGGTCCGTGAAACAGGTTGCTGGAATGGCTGAGGACCCTGTGGTGCCATCTCTTTCCCAGACACATGTCCTCCTGTTCCGAGACTGGGCTGGGCAATGTATCAGTGCTTTTCTGTTCCTAACACCTGACAGAGCTCGAAGTTGCGTGATTGCCTGGTTGTCCTGTGGAAGATTTGCTCTTGTCAGCTTATGGACAGTTAATTGAAATACTTCTTTTTTTTTTTTTTTTAAAGATTTTATTTATTTATTTGACAGAGAGAAATCACAAGTAGGCAGAGATGCAGAGAGAGAGAGAGAGAGAGAGAGAAGCAGGTTCCCTGCTGAGCAAAGAGCCCGATACAGGATTCGATCTCAGGACACCGGGATCATGACCCAAGCCAAAGGCAGAAGCTTAACCCACTGAACCACCCAGGTGCCCTGAAATACTTCTCATTAAACCCCTCTTCCTAGTGCAGTTGAAGACATAATTGAAACCCAGCCATGCCATGGCTTCTGTTGCTTGGCTTCAGAGCCTGTTAACACATACAAAGTCCACAATGGGGCTGGATATCCTTTTCTTACCAGAAGTAATAGAAACCTCCTATTCCATTTTCTGATAAAACATATTTTAAAAGGTGAATTTCCAGACACATTATTTCGTACAGTTTCGTTTAGCAAATTACTCAAGTACAAAACTGTTGTAAGCACATGGCCTAGACATAAAGTTAAGCACATTCTATCAGAAAATTCACTGCATCTTTAATCCTAGGCTTAGTGCTACGATTTAAATAAAAGGGATTTAGAGAGTTCATAAATGCAAAGACTGAAATAAATAAACAAGATTAAAGGAACTGTTTCCTGAGCAGCACTGATACAGAATCTCATACCTTTCTCCCTGGGGAGACTGTTGACTTTATTTTAAAGCCAGCTTTCAAGAAGTTGTAGAGTAGGACATCTGAGTGGCTCAGTTGGTTAAGTGTCTGCCTTTGGTTCAGGTTGTGATCCTGGGTCCTGGGATCAAGTCCCACGTTGGTTCCCTGCTCTGTGGGGAGCCTGCTTTTCCTTCTGCGCCTGCCTCTCTCTCTCATGAAAAAATAAATAAAATCTTTTTTTAAAAAGGCTATAGAGTAGACAGGTATTTTAATAACAGAGATAAAGAAATTAGGGACCCCTCGCTGGCTCAGTTGGCAGAACATCCGGCTCTTGATCCCAGGGTTGTGGTTTTGAGCCCCACGTTGGGTGTAGAGATTACTTAAAAATGAAAATCTTTTAAAAAGTTAACTTCCATGCTCCGAATGTGTATGTGTTGTTGGCATGAATATAAATTTCTCTGATCACATGGCACCCTATTATTGGTCTCTGTTTTTACTTTCTATTGTTTATATTTCTTTAGCAGCTTTAAACCACTGTAACAAACTGTGGTTGATTGAATTCTCACATATCACTTTCTGGTTAGGTTCTGAAATTGTATCTGAGTGGGACTATTAAATGGTTTTCAGTGGTGGGTACATAGTATTGCACTTAAAATATTGAACGTTATTGTAATTTTACATTCCCTATAGCTGCGTTAACCACATTCTCATTTTGAATAGTCCACTTAGCATTTAATCATTTTAGGTGTCATGGTGTGCTTGACTAGCCCCATATATAGGACATTCATACTCTTTCCTTTTTGAGGCTGGTGTGAATAATCCTGCTGCAAACTTTTTTTTTTTTCTTTAAAGATTTGAGAAAGAGAAAAAGAGGGGGAGAGAGCACACGCGCATGCGCCCCAGCTGGGAGGGAGAGGGAGAGAATCTCAAGCCGACTCCCTGCTGAGCATGGAGCTCAACGCAGGATTTGATTCCACCACCCCGAGATCATGACCTGAGGTGAAATCAGTAGTGGACATGCCACTGACTGAGCCACACAGGTGCCCTTGCTGCAAATATCTTTAAGTAGATTGCAACCCCCCCCGCCCCCCGTCCTACCTCGGGGTTCTTCTTAGGGATATATTTCCCCTGAGAGAAATCCCTGGTAAAGAATATGGCCTCATGTCGCTCTTGTTCCATATTTCTACTTCAAGGGTCCTCTGAAGAGATGCTCTAAGAAAGGAGAAAATGACCACAAGCGAAAAGAATTGTCTTGAGATTGGAAACCTTTTCACTGGCAAGAGACCAGGTTTTCAGATACCTACAGTGAGACTTGGTGTGCTGTCGGTTGGTCAATAAGTGAGTTCAGTGTAGTGCTGAAGAGCCCAGCCTGCACACTTAGCCAGGTGTGGGGTCACATCTGCTGCTTTACCCCTCCGAACCTCCAGCTTCCTACTGTGCATGTACTAGCCCCTGCCTCGTTGTGGGTGGTGGTGAGCTCTAACTGCAGTACTGTGCTGCAGAGCCATTACTTGGCCTAGGCCTCGCTGGTACTGGATGCTCAGTGAGTGGAGAGATGCCGTGATTTACTCTGACTGGGTGGCCCTGTGGTAGCAGGCCTCTGAGTTGGGTTTATGCAGTGTTGGCAAGTTGTTCCCCAAAGTCCTTGGGCTCTAGGATGCTTCTTGGGTGTGTTGACTGAATTCTGGGTCGGCATTCTTCTCCCCGGGGTTGGTTCTTGCAATGTGCTCATTCTCAGGTTTGTATATAAGTGGATATGGTCAAGGGTTTCTGTGATTCCACCCCTGGCCCCAGGGCCGATGCTTGTTCTTCAAGAACAAATAAGAGAACAAATCTAATAATATCAACCATCCCAGGGCACCTGGGTGGGGCATTTGGTTGAACATCCAACTCTTGTTTTTGGCTCAGGTCATGATCTCACAGTCCTGAGATGGGGCCCTGTGTCCGGTTTTGTGCTCAGTGTGGAGACTGCTTAAGATTCTCTCTCCCTCTCCCTCTGTCCCTCCCACTCATGCTCTTTTAAAATAAATATTTAAAAAAAACATTAAAGAATATCAACTATCTCTATGCAGCAAACATACCATTTTTTTCTGGCATTTTACTTTTTCTGTTTGGGTAATAAAAGTAGAATTTGAGAAGGATGTGTTCCTTTCAATCCTGTTTCCTTAGCTTGAATAAAATGCCTTTAGAGAAGGTGGTGGATGGAAATTTTAATTTGTTTGGGTATTGTAAGAAAATCTTGCATCTTCTCCTTTTCTGTGACATTAGTAGAAATCTTTCTGTCTTATAGCCACCTAATTTTAAAAAGTTAAAGAAGCATCAACATCATGTGGGCCTTAATTTTGTTGCTTTTTTTTTTCTTATTTCCCTTCTTCATTGCCATCATCATCCCTTTTAACCATGTGTGTATTTTGGGATCAATGACGTGACATCCTCTCTCCAGAGTATGTATTGGGCAGGCCTTCCTTTTCTGGAAATTTCAATGGGACCTTTTTGTTGCTGTTGTTTGTTAAAGATAGTATTTATTTATTAGAGAGCATGCACAGGTATGAGCAGGGGGAGCAGCAGAGGGAGAGGAAGAAGCAGACTCCCCACTGAGCAGGGGGCCTGACACTGGCTCAGTCTGGGACCGTGGGATCATGACCTGAGCCAAAGGCAGATGCTTCATCGACTGAGCCATCCAGGGGCCCCCAGTGGAACCTCTCTTAAATTTGGAACATGTTCCATCAGTGTTTTTCAAGAGTCTAAATGTGTGTTTGGGGGGGGAGGGTGTTTATGTGTTTTCTACATAAATATCTATTTTTAAAAGTTTTTAATTTTTTGATTTTAAAGAGTTAAATTTCCCCACTCACCGACTTTTTCATATTGAAATTCAACCACGACATTTACAATTGTTCAGCAGTGTTTAACCAGGGATGAGACCGTCTCCATCTGCTGGATGATGAACTGAGGCTCTGAGGCAAATGACTTTTGGGGAGCAGACTGATGGGTCAGAGAACTAGCTCCCTGCACCCTTCCCCAGCCTCTGGCTTCTCTTCTTTCTCCAGCAGGTTACTGGGTGGCCTGGTGAGAATGCAGCCAACATGGGGACTTTTATTCTTTGCTTACTCTAGTCCTGGGGAACACAGGTGAGGGGCTGGAAAGTTCTGTTTTGTTTTTTTCATCTAGTGCTGTTGAATTGGTGGGTGGCATAAGTTTGCTATATAGAGATGGTTAATACTCTTACTAAATTTCTTCCTCATCTGTTTCTAAAGAACCAACATCTCCCTCTTGGGCAATCTGCCTACCTCACAGGGACTCTTGCCCATGGGTATTAATTCATACACACACCTGAGAATAATGTGTGTGGCTACTGGGCACTTCCTCTGAGCAGAAGAATTCAGGGAACAATCCATGGCTCTGCACTCTAGGGACCCTCTGCTCTGGGATTTGAATTCTCAGTGGTGGTTCTGTGAACATGGTAAAATCACCTCAGCATCATAAATCTCAAGGCAAACCACATCACTGCTTCAAGAAAAGGCATCTGTTCAGTTACCTTACTTACCCTCACAAATATTTATCATCCGAAGTGACACCTCATTTTGCCTTTCATCACCAGACCAAATGGTAGGCGTTGTTCTCCTTCCTTGTGTTTCCACAGTTTTTCCTCAGAGGCTTCTCTGCCTGTTGTTACTGGGTCTTTCAGACTCGAGTGCCCCCCCTGGCCTGCAGGGTCACTCCTGTGTT